AAACTCAGTAAGAAAAAGGCAGGGAAATTATATTTTGTTGATTTTTATTTTATTTTATTTTTGGGGTGGCTGGCTGGAATGGGAATCCAAACCATTTTGTGGAATTTTAAAACAATATGTATATAAACGGTACCTGAATAAAGCAAAGCATACATAAAAAATAAAACTAAAAATATATAAAATAAAAGGGGAATAGAATGGTGATTCTCAACTGTAACAATACTGCCCTCTAGAGGACATTTGGCATAGCGTAGAAACATTTTTGGTTGTCACAGCTGGGTGGTTTTGTATTCGGCTGGCATTTTTGTGGGTGTAGGTCAGGGTTACTGTTGAACGTCCTACAATGGACAGAGAACATCCCCTCACAACGGAATGATCTGACCTAAAATTCCAGTAACCCAGAAGTTGAGAAACCCTTGTTTATACCAACTGATAACATCTTGCCTTTGTATTCTATAATTACGGATTTGTTTTCTTTTTTGCTTTTATTTAAAAAATAATAAACTAATGGATAAAAATGTAGTTAGCATGGAAATAAATGCCACACTTATAAGTTATTAAGAACTTATCAAATCTTTCATTCCTACAGGAAACCCTGCCTGGCTCCCTTGTTTGATTTTGATTTTTACACATACTAGTACCTAAAATGTATTTATGTAAAACATTTTTCTACTAGAAACTGACATTTTAGGAAACAGATCAATAGTGAACACGAAGGTCTGACTTCATCAGTTCAGTCTCAGGAACAACCATTTCTTCCTCCAAACATTTTTTTCCCAGTCAGTGTAGCAGATTGAATTATGTCCACCCAAAACTCATTGAAGCTTGAATTGTGTCCAAGTTTTATGTATTAGAAACTTGGCCCGGGCCGGCCCGTGGCTCACTCGGGAGAGTGCGGTGCTGACAACACCAAGGCCCCGGGTTCGGATCCCATATAGGGATGGCCGGTTAGCTCACTGGCTGAGCGTGGTGCTGACAACACCAAGTCAAGGGTTAAGATCCCCTTACCGGTCATCTTTAAAAAAAAAAAGAAAAAGAAACTTGGCCCCCATGGTGACTATTAAGAGGGTGGGAAATCCTATTATGGTAATTTAAAGGTGGAGCCTTGCAGAGGTGATTGGATTGTAGGACCCTGCAGTAGTGAATGGATTAAAAACGGTGGTCAGGGGC